CATTTCTGCCTGTTGTAAGTATTTATATAAATACTCAAGATGACAATCATAAGGAACAATACATTTGTTGTTAAAATTGCCTGTATTTAACTTACCTTCATTGTTCTTAAAATATTTTCTATAAAATATTTCTATAATTGCCATTTTTATAGAAGGCAAGTTAAAATCAATTGATTTAGTTTCAACTTGTTTAAAAAATTCTTTATCAGCTTGATTAGCACCTTTTAATAAAAGATCAAAATTATCAAAACCGATTCCTAATATAATACTTAATCCCACAGCTGACCATAAACTATATCTACCTCCAACAAAATCCCACATATCAAACTTGGTTAGTCGAACCCCTTCAATCATTGGACATTCGTTTGCAGTAACTGCAACAAAATGCTTTTTAAGAACATCTTCTTTGTTAAACTGATTATACTTTTTATATAAATTTAATACAAATTGAGCATTTTTAGATGTTTCAATAGTTGTAAATGATTTAGATACAACAATAACAAGTGTTCTTTCAAGATCAATTGAATCATTCATAAGTAAGTTACTTGGATCAACATTACTTAAGAAGTAAACTTGTCTTTTTTTATAACATTTTAAAGCTAAATTAACCATCTTAGGTCCCAAATCAGATCCTCCTATACCAATATTTAATATCATACCCAACTTTTTGCCTGTTATACCTGTCAAACTGTCAAAATTATTTTCAAATTCTTTCATCTTATTTAATTCTTTATTAATCAAATTTCTTTTATCTTTTAAATTTTTGTTATCAGTTCTTAACAAGTAATGTAATACAGGCTTATTCTCAGTATAGTTAACATTCTTACCTTCATATAAATCAGTTAATTTATTAATAAATCCTTTATCATTTAAATCTTTAATAATCATCTCTTCATCAGTAATATGAGTTTTACTAAAATCATAGTACACACTCTCACCAGACTCAAGTTTATTTAAAGATGATAATTTATCAACTCTTTCTTTATTAAGTATTTCTTTAATCTTAGTCATAATAAGGAGAATAAAAAACTACAAATAAATAGTAAAAAAGGAGAAAACAATTAATTTATTAAATCAATCTCTTAATTATAAAATACTCGTCAACATTTTTTATTTCTTGATTGTGTTCATTTTCTATAGAAATATCGTTAGAATCAACACAGACTTTAAGATCATTAGAATTAGACTTAATTAATTCATATTGATTATTATTGATAGTAAATGGAACATTTAATTGAATTTCTTCTGGTAATAAATCAATTGATATAGATTTTGGTATTTGAATAATTCTGTTAATCATAGATAGAGAGACAAAGATGGGTACAAAAAGAATAGAAATAAAATGATTTAAATCTTATTTATTTACTTGGATTACTAGAAAAACCTTCTCTCAATCTACCACCTCTAAGTCTTAAAACAAGATGCAAAGTACTTTCCTTCTGTATGTTGTAATCACTCAGAGTTCTTCCATCTTCTAGTTGTTTTCCCGCAAATATAAGTCTCTGTTGGTCTGGAGGAATACCTTCTTTGTCTTGAATTTTCGCTTTAACAGTCTCAATAGTATCTGCTGGATCTAATTCTAATGTAATTGTTTTTCCTGTAAGTGTCTTTACAAAAATCTGCATTTTAGGGGTTCAAGAAATTAATAAATAAAATTATTAGAGAGTTTCATAAAAATAAAACAAACAAACAAAATCAAATTAACTTTTAATTTTGATGAGAAGAAATAAAAACAT